CCCCCAGCAGCCCGGCCCGTCACCATACAAAAGTCCATGTCCCATGAGAGGTTCTCACAGAGAAACTAAATGAAGAAACAGCTTCGTTGGATAACGGGTAGGCCCGGGACGGATGCCACAAGAATGGAACAACCTGAGTACCTAGCCGGATGGACGAGAATGGAAGATAGACTAGGTGGAGAAAGAAGAAGAAAAATTGTCAAGTTTGTACCAGAAACATAAATATCGAAATCCTCTCATAGGTACAAGGCCAGCGCAAGCTTTACGCCACGGGATCAATTCTCAGTACAGTCGAACGCGCCAGGCTAAGCCCTTAGTAGACGCGGCGGAAGTGCGAGGGGAAAGCCGCGCGGCTGCTGGTCTGGAAGCCAGTGGGACGGGCAGCACCGCTAGGGTAGGGGAAGGTGCCGTTGCTGTGGCCGAAGGGAGGACGGGGGGTGGGGACCACGGTGGCAGTGCTGGTGGCAGCGGCCTCGGTGGTCGAGGCGCTGGAGGTGGTGTCCTCGGCGCTGGTGGTGGGCTCGGCAACCTCGACGTTGGTGTCGGGGGTGGCGGTGATAGCAGCGGCAGTGGTAGGGGCGACAGTCTGCAACTTATGATCAGCATCGACATCATCAACTTTCACACAGCTCAACTTACCACAGTGACAGTGTCGTGGACAGTGACAGTGACAGGAGCGCAGCTGTCGCTGGAGCCGGAGCTGGCGGAGCCGGAGGAGCTGCCAGAGGTGGCGGCAGAGCCAGCGGCACCAGTGGACGAGGGGACAGCCAGGAGGGTGTAGGTGGCAAAGGCGGTCGAGGTCGAAGTGAGGGTAGTGTCCTGAGCACCGGCGCTGGCAGTGCTGGAGCTGTGGGCTCCAGGGGTCTATATCAATGGGTCAGTAGGTTTCACAGGCGGCCGATAACACAGCAAACGTACCACATAGACGGTCTGGACGTCAGTCACGGTGCGGTGAACAGTAGTGGTCACCACGGTCTTGGAGGCACCGGCACCCAGAGTGTAGGTGAGAGTGACATCCTTGGTGGAGGTCTGGGTCTCGTACTCGGTGGAGACGGACTCAGCACCCGAGGCAGCGCCAGATCCAGAGCCGGAGCCAGCAGCAGAGCTGGTAGCTCCCGCGGACTGGGTCACGCCGGTGCCGAGAGGGCCGGGGGCGGAGGTGATGGCCGAAGAGTAAGGGAAAGGAGGCACGGGGGCCGAGGAGTGAGCACCGGGCACCACGGAGGAGGGACCAACGGGGACCACGGGCACGGAGGAGGGGCCAACAGGCACAACCGGGACAGAGGAAGGAGCCGAAGGCACAACAACCGCCACGGACGAGGAGCCCACCGAGGCAACAGGAGCCACAGCCTCGGAAGAGGGCGCAGCGGGGACGGGAGCAGCAGAGGTGGTGCCCTGAGGAGCGACAGCCAGGCTAGTAGTGGCAGCAACGGCGGTGGAGGCCGAGCTGGTCGCAACAACGGGCTGGGGAGGCTGGACAGTCGTGGTGGGGAGAGTGACGGGGATCGCAACCGAGCTGGAGGCGGCATCGCGGCCGTGGAAGTGCAGGTTGTGGTGGATGTTGGCCTCGCCAACGGCGGCGAGAGCACCCAGAAGGGCAACCGAGACCTTGGTAGTGAGCTGCATGGTGGGTGATTGGTGGTATAAAGGGTGATTTTGTGTGATGTAGGTGGTGGTGGTGGTGGTGGTGCTGCTGCTGCTGTTTGTTGAGGTAGAGACTGCGGGGTGTTGTTGGTCAACGAATGTGAGCTGCGAAATCTATTCGCAACAAATTGGATAAAGAATGACTGGGTTCGAAAGAACGAAGCAACGTCTCTAGCACAGAGAACAGTTGAGAGAGAAAGTAGCAGTCTGACGGAATCAATCCGAGAATTTGGGGAAAAGAGAGTCGTTAAAAAGAAGAGAATGGAGACAGTTAGAGAAAGAGAGACTAGACTAAGAAAGAGAAGAGGAAGAGGGGGGGGAGGAGAAGAAAGGAAAGGAAAGGAGACACTAATTCCATCTAATATCTTTTTTTTCTCATTTGATTAACCCACCCGGAGAGTCACGATACACATGAGTTACCAGGCACCGTACCAAGTGAGGGTGAGTTCGGTGAATTAATGCAAGGCCATCTGTAACGTACGGTTGCATCAGCCGATCTTCTGCCTCGTGCACTCAAGCAATAGAGACGATTAGGGAGCTTAGCTTGTCTCATCTCAGGCCGAACAGGCAGAAAAACCGGGCCGTTGGCAGAAATGGTGATGGGAAATGATATGATTTAATTTCCTGGGACTCCATCGAGTGGGTCTCTGGCGCAGGCACCATCCGTGGATTGGAGGTTCAAAGGAAGCAGAGATGATGGCCCCCGTTTCATCCCGTGAATGCACGACGTTTACTGGCTGTTCTGCCCCTGGCTTTAATCTCGTGTGGGCCGTTTCCCCCGACCAATCGACCGCACGGGGTGCCGTGTTTTTCTTTTTTCCCTCCGTCTACTTGGACTCTTGGAGTGTCCCACTGCGTGCCCCGGGCTGTACTCCGTATACAGTACTCTACAGTACTCTACAGCACTCTACAGGCACAATCGAAACAAGCAATAGCCAGGAAGGCACCCTGCAGAAATCTTGTACATCTAATCGAGGGGCCAGAATTGCCAGGTGTCTGTGAGGGCGCACCAGCACGTCACACATCCGCCTGATGAGCGATGAGCAATCAGCAATGAGCATCCATAAATCACGGTCAACAGCTCAATCAGTGCTCAACTCTAAATTGCCAGCTTTCGGAAATGAGCACCAATTTCCATCCTGTACCTTGTCACTGCACCCACGGTACCATACCAAGAGAACAATCAATAGTCAAAAGTCAAGACCGACTATCGATCAGCTACCTCCCACCCATTCTGCCAAGCTCTATCTCACGTATGGGTCCACGCAGTCTGCGTAGCAGTGACGAGGCATTGGGTGAAAAGCGGGGGATTCAGAGCACGGTGAGATACACTCCTAGAGTCTTTAGGGGGGGAATAGGGGGATTAGACACCGTATCGACAGTATCTCGGAGTCATTGTACAGCACTTGGTCCAAGCGTGGGCCATTCGCTACGTGGTGGCGGCCATCGCGAATGGTCAAGCTCGGCGCCAACCGGGCCCGCTGGGTCGCCCGACTATGCGAAAACTTTCTCTAAGCGATTGGGACCGGTACAGTAGGCCTAAGCGAACAAGGCCACCATAAACAGGAGAGGCAATCGCTCAAAGAGGACAACAACAGCAGCAGCAGCAGCAGCAGCACGTATGACAATGACTCGGTGGCTGCCTGCCAGAGGCGTTGGCATCAATGACAGTGTTGATCCGGAGGTTATCACCAGCAGAAGAGATCATTCGAGGATGATCATAAGAGAAGTGGAGCCCGGTCAAAGTGACCGGGAGTCTAGAGTCTAGACACTATCCCACAGATTGCACTCATCTTAGATTTAATATGAGCAATAACCGCCCTCCTGCACACCAATTTAATGGTTGCTGGATCACTGTGACATGAAATGGTCAAGCAGATATCTCTGGACCCCTCCCCGGGTGTTCACCAGAAATCCAGGGTCATCGACTGCCGCGGATGTTTCAAACCAGAAGAGCTAAGATACTCGGTTGCCTGAAGTTTTGGTGGTTGATCCGAGAAACCGAACAGTGAAGTAGTTAACTACTGTACTAAACACTGACTAAGGGATGATCGCCATCGCGGCTATACTCGCAACAGACCGCATCGGAGGAAAATTTCGAAGCCCCGAATTCTAGCCCTTCGGATAAAAAATCATTCTGGCTTCATTGCTCGCTCACCGGCCAACACGGCTGATGGATCGAGATGCATGAGCATCGAGATGACTGTGATTGGGATCAGCCCGCGCATTAATCTAGACGGAACACGGTGACCGTCCAGCCCGGCTCACTGGCCTTCCAGCGTCATCCATCGGCCCTGGTGAGATAAGAGTAGGACATGTATTTAATATCGGCTTTGCCGCCACTCAGCCGTGTTGGGTGGGTTGTGGGTTGGACAATCTCCCTCCCGATGAGTAATGGAGGGAACAGTCAGTGTTGTGTTGTTCTCCGTGCGTAGGACGAGTAGTACGAGTAAGTTAGAGCGCAAGTCTTCAAGGTGCTCTGCAGCCACCCGTCGGAAAGACAAACGAGAGGGAAAGAAAGGGTCCGATGGTTGACTGTCGATCCGCTTCTTTTCCTTCCATGGATTTCGGGCAATTCTTCCCGTTTGTCCCACTCTGGGCGGTCGGCCATTTTGCCGTGGTTTTCGGTTCGGTTGCGGCTCTGACGCTGCAAGCTGGAATGTTTCGAACTGCCATGAACTTACCTGCTTTTCTGCCCCTCATTGTTGTTCTTGTTGTTGTGTGTTCTTCTTCGTGCATGAAAGCATCTCCAAGAATAGCCACTGGGTCAAACATCATCTAACGGATCGACTATGGAAAGACCCCCCTTCCAGTCCCTGCAGGCACATTATGCTTCCCGCTTGAAACAGTTCCAAACATCAGATCGGAACTTTGAAGTTCTGGCCTCCGTCTCACCCGACGACCATGACCCTGCTTCCAGTCCCGACGTCTTGTACGTGCTTGACTCCTCTTTCAATCCACCGACGCTCGCACACCGTCGGATTGCCTGCTCGGCTCTTTTAGAGGACACCAGCTGCG